TATAATTAATTCATATATTTTATATACAAATTCTACGATATATAGCACTTCTATATAATTTTTAAATTTTTCACATTCTTCTAAAGACAATAACCAAAAATCTATTTCTTTTAGTCCACAAGCACATAGACCAAGGACAACTTATAGTTTAAGCAATACAATAATATGCTTGACTTCAATTTCATTTTATTTTCGCCAGTCTAATTTTTATGACTTGATTCACAATCTGCCCAAAATTTAAGGCCCACTCATTAAGATTCCTCTTTGGCCACTTGGCGCGTCTTTTGTTGCCAATTGGACGTTAACTGGGCGACATAATTAACCCTTATTTGCGCACTTTATGGCCCGCACCATAAAATGGCAATTTAAATTACAAAGCACAAAGTAAAGGAGTTTTTTGGCCATTGGGTAAATGTTGTACAATTTGTTTATAGGCATCGAATGCGGCTTGAGCAAGGCGCCAAATTGGCAGACRAAGAAAGAGAAGAAGAAGAGAGACAAACATAAAAGTCGAAGCTCAGCTGAGCATCGGCTTTAAGGCAAATTGTGGTACGTTGTGGCCCTTAAAGCAGCTTACAATTTGAACGCATTGTGGACAAGCCGCTTAACTTGCATAATCCAAATATCTGGCCAACAACGCACTGCAGGCTCTTGACCCCTTTCCGATCCAAATTTTCTTGTTGTTGATTTTTTTTTTTTTTTTTGTCATTTTTGTAGGTAGTTCCCAAACGGCCATCAAAGTTGAATGCGATTGCGTGTCTCATGCGGGCAGCGGTCATCATCGAGTGTAGAGCGTAGAATTGCTTCTTAGGTCATAAAATTTCAATAGCTAGGGGTACGAGTGTGGCCGGCCAGCCCCGATAGAGCTTTTAAATTTCACAGCGTCTAGGGTGCGCTGACATTGTCAGCAATGGAGTTGAAACTGGTCGAGCAATAAACCGGTTTAGGCTTTTATGGGCCTTCGTTAAAGCTACGGTCCGTGCCACCCTTAAAGCGCACAATTTTTTTCAATTTTCAACAAGAATTCTCAACTTGTTAAGTCAATCAGAGCATATATATCTGAAAAGGGTTTCTGATCTCATCACAACCTTGCGCTGTGGCAATATCGCAAACAATGAGGTGACAACCGAGTTGCGATTATTGCTAGTTGAAAACTTTAACCAATAACTCGCCCTCTGTGAGCCACGCTCACACTGAGGCAATTTTTTTGATGACTCGAAAGGGTCGATTATGAAATAAATGTACCAAATGTAGTGGAATCTAAGTAACATTTACTTATCTACTGGATTTCATTGTTGTGCATGTATGAAGCAATTGAGAGCTAAGACAACTTGTCTCTGCAGAGGCAGACTAAGAGATAGCTTGAGCTTCAATTCATGTACCTTAAGCCATTTTAAGGAAGTAGAGTAAGTTTCTTGGAAACTAGAGTATAGCTATTTCATTGACATGCCCTATAAATTATAAGCTATAATATAAGCTTTTAAAGCTTATTAAGAGTTAAAGTTAACTTTAAAGAGTTAAAAAATGATCTCAGAGACATTTTCAGAAATATGCACCAAAACAGCATATATCCATTTTGCATGTACACCTGCTTAAGAATATATAGATATATAGAATAGAATTTATAGAATATAATGTTAATGATATTTGCCAAGCTGCCATACAAAATTTTTATACCCTAAATTTTCATTCTCAAGTCCAGCTTCTAAAAATAAAATGTTATTAAAATTTGTAATTTTTTCTCTAATAATATTTTTTTCATGATTTTCTAGTATTTTTTATTTCTTAGCTAGTTTCTTTTTTAGTTACTTTATCTATATTTTCCGTGTTCTTTATATACTCTTGAATAATTTGTTTTCACTATTATTCATTAATATGAAAATATCTCCTGCGGCTTTTCAATTTGATTGACTTTTTTATGCCACGTATATTATACCTGTCACGAAATTTAATCATTGTCCAAATTGACATATTTTAAATACACTTACACACAAAAAAAAAAATAAAAATAAAATAAAATAAAATAAAAATATTATTGATTTGAAAATTTCTAATCTGTTTTTTTTTTCGTTTTCATTAATTTAGTCTTCATTGCCATAATCATTATTATTCGCATTAATTAGATTTTTTTTTCAGTTTCAGCGCTTTTATCACTTAAAAAAATAATAATAATAATACAAAATAACTGAATTAAAGCAAAACCCTGAACTTCACTTCGCAAAATGAATATTCTTAGTATAACGCTATAAAAATTCATAGTTTCCATATATATTAATTTTAAGACTCCCAGTTCAATTCACAAATTTCAAATTCACAGTTCTTAATAATATTTTATTATATTTTAACAATTACAAATGCTATTTGTATGAATGTTGCAAGCGTTCAGTGCTCTCTACTCCGATCTATTTTTCGATTTTTTCTTCTTTTTCACGCTGGCCGTGCTGGACAAGGGTCCCAGAGATGAGTAGCCCGTCGACGTTGAGTCGCGACTCTCGCGATATGTGCGCAAGGGTTTGCGATTCAGCCAAACACGCAAGAGAAAGTTCAGTTCGCCCTTCAAGGCCACCATGGGCTTTATCTGTAGAAAAGAGAATATCATGAGTCTATATGTGGAGTTGATTATTATCTATCTTACCCTTTCTTTAAACGCAATGCGATGCACGTGCCACAGAAACTCTCCGATGCCGATGACAAAGGAGATGAGTACGCCCACGATGAGCACCACGAACAGACCCCCCACAGCATCCATATCGAACTGGCCATCATCGTTGACCGTTCCGCCGGATTCACACGTCGTTTCATTATTATTAAACCACTTGCTCTTCAGATTATATAGAACACCGCGCTCGCTCAGCTTCAATATGCCCACACTAAGGTTCGATCGGAAGTGGGCATCTAAAGAGATCGTTTTTCAATTAAAGATCTGTCTGAAATTCTATCTAGATTCTCTCCACTCACTCAATGGCACCGCAATGCCGTAGTGCTTCTCTCCGAAACTCTCGCCGATCTGTGTGAGCTCACAATTCCGTTGCACGTAGTACTGCAGATTGGTGGTCTCCATGAGGAAGGCGTAAGTGCCGCGGCTCACCTTCACACGATCCACGCCCTCCTCGTTGTTCTTTGTGAAGGCATCCGGCTTCAAGGACAACATCTTATTCCAAGCCATACGATTTTCGGTATCGTTCGATTCGGAGAAATAAACTGATGTCGCGCCGCCGCGTATCGTCCCAAACTTTACTTTATTCTGATCGATCAGATCGTGCAACGAGGCTATATTTCCCGTCATCTTCGAGGACGTAATGAAGGCAGCTAAACTAGCAATGTAAGTTTGCGAGATAAGCAGCGCAAAAATCCACCAGAAGGCAGTCAGTAGACGCATGGGAAGTCCTCTGTAACGTAGAGGAAAATAATTATAATTGAATTTAAAAAACAGAAATCAATAAATTTCAAATCAAATCAAAGTACATATAAAGAAAATGTATTACAAATAAAAATAAAATAGAATAAATGCAGAAAATTTATTGATTAAAGCTCATATGAAAAATATTTAGAAGTTGCAAACAAATTAAAATATTGATAAAATAAAAAGCAATAATTAATAAAATAAAATTAAATTAAATTAAA